TGGGCCATCTTTAAACTGAGCTTCAGCTCCCAAACGACCTTCTTGACTTCGTATAGCTCGTCAGCTTGAGGAATATCCCGCAAACGCTTCTCTAAAGTCGCTGTGAACTTGTTATTAGCCTCCATAGCCTGAAGACACAGCAAAGCATACACGATAAGAAGGCAAGTATCTAATATAAAAGACTTTCAGAGATGTCATGATTGATGATAAGAAGTAAAAGACTTTCAGAGATGCAAAGATCGACGAAACGAACTCGATATTTATAAAGGGAAAATAAATCGAATAATAACAAGTGAAAAGAATAAAATCTAGAAAATTTAGAGAAAAAATATACCATATGATCCGCAGTTATCAAAGAACATCCGAAGTGTTTTTAAATACAAAACAACAAGATCCATCCGATAAAAAAAAAAGAGAAAGATAAAGTCTAGGAATCAGCTCCGTCCTCGGAAGAAGAATCCCCAACGACCGAATCACTAGAAATATCGGGAAGATCCAAATCCGAAACAGTCCAATCCGCAACAGCAGCTAGCTCGACGAGAGCTTCACAATCCTTCCCCATCTTAATAGGGCGAGCCAACTCGTCATTGACGACCAGTCCTCCATTCTTGATCTCGCTGAGCAAATCGATGTTTGTGATTATCTCTCGCAGCTGGATCTCCGCGTCAGTCTCTTTTTTCTTATCCGGCCACCTTTTCTCTACAAGGGATATGACCTCCTTGTAACGATCAGCGATCTCGCGACGCATGGCACGAGACTGACAACAAATAACCCGCTCCATCTCCGCAAGGAATTCTGAAACCTTAGTCTTTTGAGAATGCCTCGGTCTCGAACACCATCCTCTCTTCACGAGCTTTCCTCCATTCATCCTTCAGGAACATAGCCTCTCCGGTTTTCTTCTTAAGATCCTATTTCACCTTCCGGAACGATTCCTTGAGGCTTTTAACCTCAACTCGCGATCTCGCTAGCTCCCCCTCGCCGCGACTCTCAAACATAGCAGCAAACTCATTGACAACAACCATAACTTGCAAAGTTTCAAGGTTATCAGAGCGAGATTTACCCGCTAGAAGAAGACAAGGAAAAACATAATATACTTTAGAATTGGCGTCCACAGTCTTAGCATACGCCTCCCTCTCCTCGAGAGAAGCCGAAGAAAAGACATACGGGCTCGGAGCCGCCACGTTGTTACTTTGAAATGAAGAACCACCTAGCGATATCAGATATACGACCTGCGATGACCGGCGACACTTACAGTCAGTAGCAGCAGAGTTATCCTCCGAACCGGGGCTCAGAGAAATGGGCAATCCCCTTGTTCCAGGAGTATCCTCTGCGTCTGAATCCAAGATCGGGATCAAAGAAGATCCCCCTAGATCTCCACTACCCACAATAGATCTACGGTTTCGTAACGATGACCTCCTAGCCAGTTTCCTATTCGACCTCGCAGAGGGAGAAGGACCACTAGAGGATCCCGAAATACCCCTGAGCTTGGAAGAGCTATCAACAATAGCTGGCGCTCGATCAGCCCCGTCTGGTAGAAAGAAAGAAAACGAATTCGTTCACGATCAAAAGACGACCAACCTAGGCGACCTCGTCACAACACCTTCAACAGACCTCAGAGTTCGTCGGACATCATAGATCTCCTGGAGTGTACTAAGAATGCATAAATCGACTTTAGAATTCGGTTATCGAAAAATATATATAACAAAAAGAGAGTATTCAAGATTCAGAACAAACCTATATCGCCAGCCCAAAGAGGAGGAATCTTCAAAAAATCAAAGTCGCCCACCGACGAGCGATCAAATTCGAAGACAAAGAATTCTTCTCGCCAGTCTTGATCGCAGTATGGAATCCCTTGGATGATATGGCGTTCTGTACGCGGTGACATGAGAAAAGTCCCAGGACTTTGGTTGTTCCTCTTCAACAAACATAGGTGACACAACTCCTTTAGATCAAATCACAAACCTTCTTTGCGAGCTCTAACCACGAGAGCCAGGGGGTGCTTTAAGAAGTTTGGGCACATCTGAGTGAGAGAAATACCCAATTCAGCTACGATCTCGAGGATACGCTCCACAAAACCAGTCATGAACGGTCTTAGAAGTCTCAAACATGGAGGCTAGCTCAAGCTTGACATCTCGATCGACATGTGCATTGTGTATAAACCCTCGAGACGATCGGCGGTGGTTGTCGGAAGAGAAAAAGAAAACGATGTAGTCATCTTTGCTTGAGAGAAGTCTAAATCGTAAAAGCAAGCATTAAGAAAAGAAGGAAGGACTTAGAAAAAGAAGAGGATCCTTGAGTATTTAAAGGCATTCACCGACTAAAAATGGCTCTATCATTAAAATCGAGAAGGGATAAATGATTAGGTTTTATCTCGAATGCGGCGCAAGTAGCCGTTAGAAACAAAAACGCACCGCCAACGGTCCGTGAACGACGAGATGACACGTGTCGGGTCTCTTCCATTGTCGAGAAAGAAACCGAATTGTCCCTCTTCAATTGAGACCGAATGGGCCATCTTTATCCTTCAACGAAAGAAAAAGATTGGGGAACAAATGTTGGACCCAATTTCTGTAAGAAGATAGACAGGCACAGGCCCATGCTTCATCATCAATCAATTCGACCCACATCGAGCCCGACGAGGTCAAACCAGTATCCCAAAGATCGCGGTGACAGTTGCAAGGAATCGGTCAAGAAAGAGATTACAAAAAAAGGGAGCTAGAGCGGATCATAACACACACGGAAAACCCTAGAGCTAACCACTACTCTCATCGACCTCACTTCTTAGCGTTTAGTTCGTTTATAGTTTCGATCTCTCTTCGTTATTCTCGATCTAGATTATCACTTTGTATTAAACCTCATATTCAATAAAATCTATTTTTGTCAACCGAATTCCGATTGTATTGTTGTGTTCTAAGAGCATCGTTGCCCACATCATTTGTATTCCCTAGATTAAACTCTTGATTACTACAAAATACTTAGTGTGAACTTTAGAATCTACAGTTATGAACTTATGAGTTAAAAGCTAATGAAAAATATCTTCTGCAATTATCTTTACTTGGTATGTTAATATGTTTTGAGTATGAAAAAAGTAACTATAACTATTTTTTTCTGAATAAAAATTAAGCAAGTTGGTAGGGACATTGTAACTGCTGTGGTAGAGAAAATCCCGACTCTAGTGATCTTGTTTTCAGGACGGCCTATGCTTCTAGATCCGGATGTTCTTAAGAAGACAGATGCTCTGGTTCTTGCTTGGTTGCTTTGAAGCGAAGTTCATGGGATTACGGATGTGATTCAATGAATAATGTCCAGTTGATTCGATCACTTGAATCATGTCTCAGAATGGTCTGAAGCGTTTTGGAGCGGCCTGAAGCATTCTGCTACGTGTACTATCACATGTCATGCGGACCGATCCGCAAAGGCTTGTACATATAGTGAGACGGGTTTGGGCAGTCATTCCCGGGTGGGATGGGATGGGATGGGATAGGAAACATGTTTGCCATATCTAGTTTAGATAGTTGAGGGAATGTAGAGAAGTCATCCCTTATATATTTTAAAATATTATTAATAGGCCCCCTAGTCTCCATTGTGCAGTTGTGTCACATGTTTGTTTTTGTGAGCAACGAAACTGTGACAACCCAGTGAAGAGTTGTTAAAGGGTGACGTCTTGGGTTCGAGTAATACCAAGCGCATCAATAACCTACCGCCGGATATGGAGGCAATTCCTCCCATGGTGAGGGGTTAGAATCAGTGTGTTGTAGCACTGTGAGCTTCCACGGGATGGGTTGTCACAAAAAAAAAGATGACTTTTTTTTGTGACAACATGTCCATTGGAACCTCACAGCACTGCATTGCATCGATCCCAACCCCTCCCTTATGACTTCTCACTAACTCCATAATTAAGTTGTCGGTGCGCCTCGAACCCAGAACCTCACCCTTCAACAACTCTTCCACAGGACAAGTTATCATCAATTGACCTGCAGATCAATTGGTGACAACTTATCTTGTGGAGAGTTGTTAAACACTGAGGTCTTGGGTTCGAGTAACGCCAAGCGCATCATTAACCTACCGGTGGATGTGGAGGCAGTTCCTCCCACGGTGAGGGGTCTCATGGTCGGTGTGCTGCAGCGCATTGAGTTTCCACGGGATGGATTTTCACAAAAAATGTACTTATTTGTGACAACCCAATCCATACTTTCTTTTGTGACAACCAATTCAGTAGAAGCTTACTACCCCAACCATCATTTATGAGTTCTCATTAACTCCATAATTAGGTTATTGATGCGCCTCAAACCTAAAACTTCACCTTCAACAACTTAATTATAGAGTTAATGAGAACTCATAAGAGAAATGTTGGAATCATTGCAGCGATCTGTGAGCTTCCATGGGATTGATTGTCACAGAAATATTGCATTCATACGAAATACAATTTTTCATTTTTATGTTTCGTGAAATTGATAATTTCGTTTTATGTTTACAGGATGATTCCACAGAAAACGAAGCGTAGTCCATCTGCTCTTTGCTTGATTGAAGGTTTTACATAGGAGAATGGTTAGACCTGATGCTCTTAGGTCCTTTTTCTGTGTTATGTTTTGTTTTAATGATTTAGGTAATAAGCAATGTCCAGATTTGTTAATGATCAGCTGATTTGGTAATCAGGGTTTTGAAACTTTAGAGCGGCCACAAGTACTGCTTATTGGGTCGTCTAGCGTCCGAGGTTGGCTGGAACCATTAAAGTGAGAGTCGACTATCTTTCTTTTTCTGGATCTTTTGCCACAATGAGCTAGTGATACTTTCCTTGAAGAACCCCCTTTCACAGATCATTGATTTTTCTATTTCTGAACAAGAACTTGAGCTCAAAAGAAGGGAAGGCCACAAGTGGGTGACGTATTGATTGAAGAAAAATGGACATCTATTAGTACATCGAAGCTTTGTTTTAGCTTTGTTAGTGTCATAGCAGAGACCTCTCTGTTTTCAATACTCAATTGTTTGGTTAATACAAATCAAAGCGATCTTAATATCATTTGATGCGTTTACTGATGTCACAAAGTTCTACATTGATATTCACAATGTTACACAAAATCTAACGATCCACATTGCAGAAAACAGTGTCAACAAGAAAGCAAAGATATTACAACCAACAAAAGAACCTTATTATAAAGGTTCTGATGATGAATCATGATCTTTCAATAAATCATCCATTTGCTTCACCGGATCATCCTTGTCTCTCACTTTGTGTTCTGCTGCATCAACATCTTTCATCTTAGTATTACTATCATCCTCAATGACGTGAACATCATACACAATCGATTCTGGATCATCATCATCATCATCATTAATGTGCTTGTAAATCTCAAGTTCCTTCTCAAGAAAGTGCTTCTCTCTCTCCCTTTTGAATAAAATCTCCTTGAGAATATTCATCTCTTCCTCATCATATGCAAATTTCTCCTCAATCATTCTCTCATACTGCTTTCCTTCCATTTCAAGTGAAGCTTTATCAGCTTGTAACCTCTGAATCATAGCCATAGCTTCATCAGCTGCTGACGCTGAAGCTGCTCTTTCTTCCTCCAATTCCACGATTAAAGCAGATCGAGCAGATCTCTCTTCCTCGACAGCTTCTTCAAGCAATCTCACCTTATTCATCAATTCCAAGTTCTCATCTTTACAAACTGAGCTCTTCGTCTCTTCATGGTCTTGATGATGCCAAACGGTTGCTCTACTGGTAATGGCCAACTTTTGGATTCTGAGTATGATCTCGAATGGCAAGTCAAAGAGAAGTTTATGGACGTATTGGTACCCAAGAATACCAGAAGAGGGACAAGGCAAATAGAGTAAGAACTTGGATGCAATAAAACCCAAAGCTGATACACATAATAGACAATATGCAAATGCTAATTCAATAAAAGCAACCAAGATTCCACTAAACGTTATTCTATAATTTCCACGGTAGTCCATTTTAGTGTTTCACTGTCTCAATCAATAGCCAGATCTTTCCGGAATCTGAAATCTCAGCACGTGAATATGAGCCAAATCTGATGATCTGTCAAGAGAAACTTAAACCACGCAAAAGAAAAACAGAGAAGAGTTAGCTTTTAATACACTCCAAACTAAGGAAACCTCATGAATTCAGCCGAAAGAACTCAATAATCATGACAGTACATCTTACTTTATAAAAAAAAAAACCTAAAATTTGTCCAAGATTTCGGAAACGAACAAAGAGAAGTTATCAAACAAAATAACTCAGTCAAAACCTTTACCAGTCAAGAAAATAATTAATTTCGTAGTAATAAAAGAAAAGAAAAGAAGAGAAGAGGATAGAGATGACGCTGAGGTCAGAGCGAAGCACCTGAAACTGGAAAAAGTCAAAGAAGAGAGAGACGGAAAGAAATAGCAGGAGCTCTGGCTTGTAGCTTCGGATAAGAATCTTCGTTATTTTTCTTTTCTTTTCCAGATTAACTCTTAAATTAACTCTTAAATAAAATGAAGGAGTCGGCGTATCATTTATTTATCTTCCACTTTCCTTACAAGTTTCTCCAGATAAGCAATATGTCAATCCACGTGGCCAAACAAATAGGTGTGTCGACTGTTAAGAAAGTATTTCTATTACGAAACATTTACACTAGATATCAATTTTGGAGTTTTTTTTTTTTCTCTTTTGTCAAATCAGTTTTGGAGCTTATAATACGAAAATATATGCAGTTTTAATAAAGCAGTTGTTGCTATCAACAAACTTCTCGCAAATAATTTTCTTTTTGTCCAAAAATCTGGTCGAATTAACCCGTAAGCTAACAAACTATAATATTAGCGGAAATCAACTTTACCGTTCATCTATCTTCTACCTCAACACTCCAGATGAGATCTGATTTCTTTGACAAAGATATATATCTGTCTCTTATCCTAATCATTAGATCTCTTTTTTTTTCTATAGCCCAGATACGCTAATTTTCAAAAAACTGCATTCTTTTCTTCAGCTTCTTTATTTTTGACATTAACCATAGTTTCTTTGTCTGTTTTTACGGAGTTGGCTTCATCTCCTTTGTTTACGGTTGCAGTGAAGAGGTTAGTTATCTAACCCCAACTCAATCAATTAGCTTATGCCTAACCTAATTTATTTTTGTTCTTATTATATCGCAGACACTAATAACGGATCATTGCATGGTTATTCATGGGGAGTGGTCTTCAGTCGATTCTTTTTGGAATTTTGTGATAAACAAAAAGAAGATGTCGAAGATTGTACCATTCGTTCTGGAATATCCTTGCTTGAATAACAGAAGATTGTTACAAAGGAGTTTTTTACCTTCATAGATCCCACTCGTACTCCTCTCTTGAGTTACTGGCCTTCTAACACCAAAGAGCTTGCCATCGGTCTCACCACACCACCGGTTATACTGACCAACAACAGAGTCGTTTCCTACTTCTTTCATCACTTAGGAGCACACCCAAGCATGAATTTGTTTGTCACTTTTGACACAAAAATAGACAAACAGTCACTGAGCCAAGTCAATGAGAATCCTCTTCGCTTCTCTACACCTAACCAACCGATAAGGCCTGATTTCAACCACTTTCGCCCGTTCAACCGCTTCCTCAAAAATTCCATGTTTTTTACTCTTTGATGAGGAAGAACTCCAGCAAAGCATGCCCCTTTTCCCTCCTTCTTGTAGGAATTCATATCAGTTTATAACGCTTTATAAAATAACCTATGAATTCTATTTACCTAGAAACTCATGCAAATACTGAAATAAATCTAGATCTTCAGGGTTTTCGAATATACCTGATTATTCGCAGCAGAAAGATGAATACACCAAGTCGAGATTTCAAGCACTCCAAATGTCGTGCCTCTACTGGTATCCACACGCACACAAACTAGATTAAGACGGGATGCTAGTACCGTCGAGATCGTATCTCAAAACAACGAACACTTTCGTCTTTATTGGATTTCTCAGTTAGTTCTTTTAATTATGAGAACACGATATCTTCTCAAGATATGTGATGCGGCTGAGCAATTGTCTCTCACGTTTTTGAGCAAACCTTTAAGTATTATATATATATATGTTACGTGACCTAATCTCATTAAACATGAGAATGGGCCTAGTCCATTATGTCAATTGATCTTAATCATATTAAGACAATTAACATCAAATATATATACATATATAATTATATATATCAAATATATATAATTTAAATCTATGAAACTCCAATTTATTTATATCCAGTTTGTTTAGGTGTGTGACCCTATAGGATCATATAATATTAGCAATGAATTCTTAATTCATAGATTATAAGAGGTTTCTAGCAAAACATTATAACCACCTAATATTATATGATTGTCAATCTCGACACTACGACTTTAACAAGAGTAAGTACAAATGATTTTAGGACATTCCCAATAATCTCCCACTTGTACTAGAATCATATATTCTTATAATCCTTTTGTCTCTATATCTCGATCTCAGCGTAAGGCAAGAACTAGTGTCATCCTTATTAAGCTAGATCATGTTTATCGAACTCTGATTTATACTGATAAAACAAACGACTGACATTCACCTCGTTTGAGCATGGCCATGCATTTCTCAGTATCAAATCTTCGATAGGCCCATAGATATTTATCTCCCGTTATATGGAAGGGACAAATCCCATCTTGTTCCATCCCTGTTCTTTACAAATTTCATAGCACACCTAATCAATGCCTTTATAATCACCAGTTACGGCTGACGTTTGACAAGGTCAAAGTGAACTAATCCATAAATAAAGAATCATGACGAACTCAGGTCTAAGGACAATACTCTTATAGTCGTAATGAGAAACTCTTATGACACTCATATAACAATCTTGTAGAGTTCTCATTAGCGGGTCAGTCCGATCATGTGTTCTCTAACACATATCCATGTGATTGACTTCAATACAACATATTGAATGACTCCATGAAACTTAGTCATCAATCACCTCACATACTAGTCATTCTCGGTTATTAATGCCCCATGTTAATAACCTTGACTAGGGACCTCAATAATTTATACCATCTTTCACTTATAAGGTTTCACGATCAAGTCACGTACTTGATGACTTATAAGAATGATGTAAATTATTTTGGGACATTTATTTTAATTATCTAATAATAAAATAAACCTGAAACAATTTCATTACTTTGAATACATAATTAAACGTATGTCAATATGAACATCATATCATAAACATAAAATCTCCCACTAAAATCAAGATCACATCTTAATATACTTAATGACCACAACTGCAGCATGACTCTCATGCTTAGGCTATGGAAGAGGCTTGGTCAATGGATCAGCAACATTTGAATCCGTTGAGACTCTTCTACGGTACTTTTCTTGGAACCTTTCCAGCTCAATGCTCTTCCATTAAGACAAAAGATGAAACCAGACTGTGACCGGAAACCATCTTTTTCCGTCTGAAAGCTGGCATTAGTGTAACCACTCACAACAAGTTTATCACTTCTTCCATAGATCAAGAATTTATCTGTAGTATTTCTTAAATACTTGAGGATAGTCTTGACTGTTTTCGAGTGACTTTCACCTGGAACAGATTGGTATCGACTCGTCATGGCATACATGATAGATCCTATATCCAAAGCATATGGGATTCTGCTCATCCGCTCTCGCTCATCATGTTTTGAAGGACACTGATTCTTGCTAAGAGTTATGCCATGAGATATTGGCAAGAAGCCCTTCTTGGAATCACACATTTTGAATATATGCAAGACCTTATCGATATAAGTATCTTTACATAATTCAACAGACTTAATCTATCTTTATAGATTCTTATTCCAAGAACATGTGTAGCCTTTCCCATGTCTTTTACTATGAGAACTTCCTGAATTTCTCGAACTCCTTCGAGCTGTATTTTACTCCCACTGTTCTTCTTGGAAAAACATTCTCTTTCTAGAAAAACACCACTACTATCAACAAACACTTTGTTCTCAGTGGGATTTTAAAAGTAAACACAAATTTTTCTAAAATGTATCCCCAACAGGATAATGGAAGATCTACATGACTCATCATTGACCGAACCATATCTAATAAAGTTCGGTTTCTCCTTTAGATACACCATTCAACTGCAGTGTTCCCAAAAGAGTAAGTCATGAAACAATTTCACAATTTCTCAGATGATCATTAAGCGCTTTGACTCGATCGGATCGAAGAACTTTAATTTTCTTATCAAGTTTATTTTGTACTTTATCTTGAAAATCTTTGAACTTTTCAAAAGATTCAGACTTATGTTTCTAGATAAACATAATTATGAAGTACTGATAGTTTCCTTTAACATTTATACTCATTGGTCCACATACATCAGTATGTATAAGTTCCAGCAAGTCTTTTACCTCCTTTACTATGTCCAGTAAGAAAAGCCTTAGTCATTGTGGGAACCGAAATTCACACTTGTCGATTTCCGTTAAATAAGGAAACTTAGGAAAACCCTAATTTTCCAGAGGAACCGGATCTCTGCGAAAGCCAACGACAAGTAACCAAATAAATGCGGAAAATATGAAAAACATAGTAAAACGAATTTATAAAGAAAGTCGATCTTATTTCCGATTCGCGTAAGAGCGTTGCGATC